CCCAACGTTGCCCATTGTAGTAGCTACTGACGCGTCTCAGTACGGTCTGGGAGCTGTCTTGCAACAGCAGTACGGAAACCAGCTCCGTCCAGTAGCTTTTGCGTCTCGCTCGTTGACAGACACCGAGCGCAGATACTCCACTGGAGAAAAGGAAGCCTTGGCGTGCCTCTGGGCGTGCGAGAAGTGGCACGTTTACCTGTGGGGCCGTTCCTTTGTGATCCGCACAGACCACCAGGCGTTGGTTACTCTTCTTTCTAACAAAGGATCCGGGATTCGTCCGCTTAGAATCACCCGGTGGACATCAAGACTCCTCAACTACAACTTCAAGATGGAATTCCAGAGAGGCGCCACCAACGTTGTTGCTGACGCCTTTTCCAGACTGCCAGTGCCAGACACTGAAGAAGGTATGAAGTTTGATGAAGAGGTTGTCTCCATGGTAACGGTCCGCTTGTCGAAGGGAGAGTTCCAAGAGGCGACAGCCAATGACATCTTGTTACCGTCTGTCATCCGGTATACAACGTCGACCTGGCCAGAAGACATCTCCCCGGATCTGCGGCCCTACTTCCATGTGAGAGAGCAGCTCTCCATTTTCCAGGGCATGTTATACAAGGCTGAGAAGCTCGTCGTCCCTGCGCAGCTTCGGGACAACATCATACATATTGCACACGAGGTCCATCAGGAAATCTCCAGAACCACAAGTGTCATCAGGGAACACTACTGGTGGCCCCTGATGAACCAGGAGATCAAGATGAAGGTGGAGAACTGCGCAGTATGCCAGTCTACCGACAGGCCCGTGAAGACTGCCCCTGCACCGTTGCAGCCTGTCAAGTTTCCTGAGCAGCCCTGGGAGAAGCTGGGACTGAACATTGTGGGTCCAGTCGAACGTGCTCCACCAAGTCAAAAGTTTTTTATAGTACTCCTGGACTATCACTCCAAGTGGCCCGAGGTCCAAGCAACGTCTTCAGTTACATCTACAACGGTGATAACCTTCTTGAAGGACGTTGTTTCCCGAGAAGGTCTCCCCTGCGAGATAGTCACCGACAACGGTGTCCAGTTTGTTTCAAGAGAATTCCAGGAATTCCTGCGCCAGCAAGGAATCAAGCACCGGAGAACGGCACTGTACCACCCCCAGAGCAATGGACAGGTTGAGCGATTCAACCGGGTACTGAAGTCCTGCCTCCAGCTGGCTGTGGTGCAGGGTCGCCCTCTTCCGGACGCTGTCCGAGACCACCTTGAAGCTTACCGTCGGACGGTGCATCCCGCGACAGGTTTCGCACCGTCTCTTTTACTGCATGGACGTATTCACCGATCCAGGCTTGACGTACAAGACATGCCGACGAGAGAAGCCCCTGCCAATTTCTCGGAGCAGCGTGCTCAACTTCCAGAGAGGGTACAGGTGTACCAAGACAAAATGAAAAATTATTCTGATAGACGCAGGGCTGTGAGACGGCCACAGTTCCAGTCTGGTCAAGCCGTCAGAGTTTTCAAGCCTATACACCAGGACAAATTACACAGCAAATATACAGAACCACAGAGGATACAGACACAAATAGGACCTGCACCATATAGAATGGAAGATGGCAGGAGATGGAACGCAGCCAAGCTGACCAAGACTTCACAACCACCTCCTGACCAATCTTCAGTATCTGACTGGGACGATGACGACGACCTGTCGGCAGGCACAACTCGTGTGCCTTCTCAGGTATTCTACCCAAGCATGGTTGCACCTTTTCCAATCGTGGTTGGACCTCCGACACATGGCTGTTCGGGGAGTCTGACAGCATCTCGCCTGGCAGCGTCTGGCCCACCTGTGGAACCTGGTCTTTCTGCTGCACCGGCGCCTGCAGCGCTGGGTTCCCCTGTGGAGCTGGATCTTGCAGCTGCAACAACGTTTCCTGCTGTTGGCCCTGGTCCATCCGTGGATACAGGCCAGGCAGCAGATCCTGGCCACCCTGATGAGCCCGGGGTTACTGCTACTTCCGCTCGCCCTGGTCCATCCTTGGACCCAGGGCAGTCTACAGACCCTGGCCGCACTGCCGTGCCCGGGTCCTCTTCTGTCGCTGGCCCCTCTGAGAGGCCTGTTGGACAGCTTCCAGCTCCTCCCCTGGCTAGGGAGCAGGCAGGGACACGAAACGACTTCGACTCGCCCGTGACGAGCACTCCGTTGGGGTCTCGCCCAAGTACGCAGTCTTCGATGCCCCCACTCGAAGACCCCGCAGACGAGACCCCAGGTGATCTTCAGGTGACCCCAGGTGAACTTCAGGTCCCACCTGCAGCGCCTGAACCACAGGCTCCAAGTGGTCGACCCCGCCGGAAGAAGCGACTTCCAGCTAGATTCAAAGACTATGTAATGTCTATGCTAGATAGTAGCTATGAATCGGACTAAAGTGGATAGACATACAAGTTAAACTCACCACATTTGATTTTGGAACTTTGGTGAAACATGTGTCGTTCATGAGTATATTTTTTTTTAAGTGCACAAGTGTTTTGAAACGTGAAACTGTTTTTGTTACTTGTTGGCAGCCCATGGTTGACACTGTTGGGCAGCCTCAAAGGCAGCAGCCAAAGTGACTCATGCTTATAGTTCTGATGCATCATCATATCTTCATAGTAAAAATCCTTGGCCAAGGTACTTAAAAGACATGTCCATGACAAATGCAAGACACAAAACAACACTACTAACAAACTAATCAATACACTACAAGGGTGTCATGGACATGAACTTTTGCATCACTCATAAATGCTCTTGATAAAATATGCTTTGAATTTCGTCTTGTGGTCGGCTTCCGACGAAACGTGCTAGTTGGGCCAGTCCCAAAATGAACTCTGGTGTCCGTGCAGACAGTTTTGCGACGTTTCGTTCTCCTTATCGAAGGGGGAAAAGTATCGTGTTGATGTTGAACTTTCCACTGAGTATTTGGACAGTTAAGTATAATGTGGCAGAGTTTTAAAATATTATTGTTATTCAGTATTTGATCATTGTTACAAGTATGCATGTCTTCCAGTACTTCCCTCCGTTTTTCTTAATTTTTTAAGGAGGGAAGAATGTAGTAATCTTGATTAGCGATAGATGGCGCCAGTCGCCATCTTCTTGTGTTATTTTGTTTGTTTAAAAGATGGCGCCATGTTTCCTTTTATTTCTTATTACTGGCGCCACCTGGGTTTTTCTTTCAATAAAACTGGGGCTCACGAGTTTTCGTGAGCAGTCGTTACCAGCCCACGCCCGGGATCGAACGTGTCTTTCTTTCGTCTGGCTCTTCTGGAACATCCTGTCTCTGATGGCCACGCCGGCCCGGAGTCCAGCGACGATGGGGACAGCCGGGTCCTCCGAACCGTAAGCCGCTCGCCGGTGCGTCGGCCATCACGTCTTTCTTTGTAGTTTGGTTATAGCGCGGGCAATTAATACTCGGCACTCGTTCCACCCAGCGTTCCACCTTCTGCGCTGTCTCGGGATTGGGCCCCCGAGCACGCAGGAGGCTGTAGTCAGTATTCGTACCCAGCGTCCAAGTCAAGTCTTCTCTCTTTGTAAAATACAAAATGGCGACGAGGTAAACGTTTTTTTTTTGTTTTTTTTCTTCTTCGCTCTCGAGTCCTAAGTCTCGAGTCCTCGAGTCTCGAGTACTAAAGTCAGTCCTGAATGAGTGTGATAAAAACTACGGTATCGGTAGAGAGTGCTCAGTTGGGTTACTAACCTAAGTGGTAAATGTTAATGCCCACCAGTTATCGATTATCGAAGTAAAACGCGAAAAAGCGCGAAAGTCGTGTTCGCGCTAAGTGTCGCGCTCTGCACATTCGACAAGGTATTTCCAAGTGCTATTCGAAAGTAAAGCAATTCTAATAAATGTGACAATGAGCGAGATGCATTTAAACCTTTCACAAACGTGCATCTAGGTGGTACATTTATCATACACAAATTTCATGAGTGTCGGTTTCTTAAAACAAATACAAGTCAAACATTCCTGGCTTCTGGGACGAAAACGGTAAAAAAAAAAAAACGGACTGGTGGACACTGCTAGGCACAGATGACACATCACGAGAGAAATACGCGAAAGCTTCTTTGAAATGAACACCCGAAAGCAGATCTAGCAGATTCGAGCATGTATGGTACCATATCTGAGTATATCTGCTTCAACCAGACTGTTGGTTTACATTTTTGTTTTTTTCACTGTGTATATGAGTAACATAATTTTTACGCTTCCCCCTTTTCTTTTTTCATCATACCAATTTACACATAGAATATTTAAGTATGAAAAATACTTCACCTATATACCGCTTTGTAACAAAAGCTTAATTGCACTTCGTTGATTGGTTTGTTTATATTAATTTTTCCACATCCCGATCGCGCTCGAGGACACTCTGTATAGTTTCCAGGCTAGCTCGACGCGCGCAACACATCGCTCAAGCAGAAGCACAATTAAAGTACATTAAAATAATATTTCCGACATTGAGGGCAAATTATACTATATATGTGTATCTTTTGGTTTCATAAGAGAACATATTTTGAAAATTTTAAGTTGCTTGTTTTTTTGACAAAGGTGCAAATTAGCATAAAACACCACTGCAATATTTAAATATGTGATACTGTAAACGACGTAATTTTTGCAAGGACCTAATTTGCGCGAATTTCGCGAATGGCCTACAATTCGCGGTAAATAGTTCCCGGGAACATCTCCGGTAAAATGTAAACACATTGGAATCTATATTAAGATCTCACCGCGTCGGGAAATTTAGAACCCGCGAATTATTCCAAAATTTCAGCTTTGACCTAAGTCGCGAAATATTGAACTTTCGAAAAACAAGCCATTTACAGTATCTTATTCTTCTGCTGAGCTCCGAATCGCGCTTCGAGCAGGATCATTAGCTCTCGTTTCCGATTAAATTTTCGCCGCGCATGCTACAACAGGTCAGGGACAGGGTAACGTTCGACGGGCCGAGGAGCATTTTGAATGCCTAATATGAGTTTGACGTGAGCGATATAATTCAAATAGGAAAACGAATACCTTCCACGCATCTGGAGCCTCATCGAAATATTTTTCGATCTCGCTGGGGTCGCAGTCATCGCAGCGACCTTGTGTAACCAGTGTTGTCACTATAAACAGCAGAGAGGCAAGCATCGAGACAACTTCACACATGTTACTAACCATTCGGTAGAAGTTGAACAAATATTCCGCTCATCTGGCAAGCGCTTCTTCGATTCCTCGCAGTGCTCCGTTATGGTTCAATGATCACGTGCAGTTGACGTCAGAGTATCACTCCCACACAAAGGAAATACGTGGCTGTTCTGAACTATAACTTGTTGGCACTTGCCTGGGTTTCTCTTTTTTTTTTCGTGTGTGTGCGAACTCGTATATCGATATAAAAAAAGAAAGAACTGCAGAAAGGCTGCGTATTGTCCGCGCTAAAGGGCAAACTTGGATGATTGAAATGTATACAATGTACTGCATCGTACACCATATTTGTTGAGCGCCCAAAGAGGAGAAATTAAAATAAAATATTCGAGTACTTCTATGTTTTCGTAATGCACTCGGAGGGCAAACTTGAAAAGAAAATATCAGAGCCTATTTACGTTCTCGCGTGAGGTGTACCACAGCGATAGCAGCTCGGGCCTCGCGTAATTCAGTATTGTCGTAGCGTCGTTATCGTTTCAGCGCGTCTTAACACTCTCGGAAAAGAAGGGTGTATTATTACACCTTGCACGATACAAGACTGCCCAAAACGTCAGTTCGACGTAGAGCGCACTGTCGTCGATCTGACTCTACTAACTTTCACGAGGGGCTTGATAGCCGTGTGGTACAACTTATTAAAATAGCTAATGTACGTTTTACTGACTACAAAAAGAATAATCGGAGTTTTCTTGGCTTTACTGCAAAACCTTAGTGTTTTCTTTCTCTGGTCTTCAATACGTAGTTTAGCTATTTAGTAAGTTATATCGCGCCGTTATCGAGCCCCTCGTAAAATTTGGGGCCGCTTGTTCGACTATAGTGCGCTGTACGTCAAAATAAATGTTTGGGGTGCATTATATGGGATAAAAGGGTGTAAGGTGATACCCTTTTTTTACAGTGCGATTTTGAAGATTTGTACGCCAGTTTGGTTTCCGTTCTTGCTTTTTCTACTGCCAAACCTTGTCCGTACCTCGTCTACGATGAGCCTCTTGAGCGCGTCGTAACCGAAAGTCGCGTTCTTCGGCCCCGCTGTAGAAACTTTATGGGGTCTAGCCGATGTGCGAGTCCATTTTCACAGATGGTCGTGCACATGCGCCGGCACAACGGGGTGTCGGCTGCAACCACTGTTAGAGGAGTGAGATCGGCATGCTGGAAATATTTTTTGATTGCCTGGCCTCCAGGATGCTCTCGCTGCTTTATTTTCGAGCAACTGGCGTTCAGAGCGCGCTCGTTGCTTTTTATCGCATGCTCTTGCTTTTCGACGCATAAAGACCGGGAGTTTTCGTCTACGAGAACCACGTAATTCTCCGGGGAGGTTCCCATTAACGGCCGTCACTGTAAACGAGATGCTCGAGTTCTCAATGTTCTCAGTAACGTTGTTTCTGTAAGCATGACGTAGGATATATTTGCTGCAAGGACAGGGAAACACCCTATGACTAAGTGTCTTGACTTTAGTTTGGAAGTTAAATCCACCACGATAACAGGGAAAAAAAACAATTTATCGCAAAACCCTAAAAAAAAATGGTCGGTGCATATCTGCACTCTGCTGCATAAATTTCCGTAAAACTACGTGTGGGTGGCACAAGAAATGAGAAAGGGGGTTAACGCTTCGCCAAGTCGCGCCTGCAGGAGTCGCTTGAACCGCCCCCGCTGTAAAGGACACGAGCTCGGACGGTCGGCCGCTGTCCAGAGTGATCAGCACATAATGTGGAATCAGGGCTGCCGGAGCGGCATCTATCGCCATTTGAACCAGACAGGAGCGTATCGCGTTGAAGCGAGCAAACGAGCGTGCCAGCAGATATGAAATTGCTGCAGAAATCAGTATTGTTGGTTGTCTATGAATTGCGATAGGATTCGTCAAGGAAAACCTCAAGGACGGCGTCTAAGATGGCGTCGAGGACGATGTCTCAGAGGACGGTACCAAAGACGACGTCTAGGACGGCCTCTAGGACGACGTCTAGGGCGACGTCAAGGTCGTCATGTCTTTCGAAGAGGGTGCGAATGTGAAGGAATGTGAGAATGTGAACTGAAATGGTCTGCTGCGCATACCTACTGCGCATTAGGCGGCCAGAATGTCCAAGCGATCCGGGGGGGGGGGGGGGGGGGAGGTCAAGAATTCTATCGCATGAAAAGGACGTGCGTGCGCACTGCTCGGTTCTCGGCAGCAGGCACGGCGCGCCGTCAGGGAGCGCGGCGATGCAAATCGGGCGGCACTCCGGGGTTACCTGCGTAAAGTCACTTCCGTGACCATGTTTTCGTGACATCGAACTCCCAACTTGGCACTTCCTCCCAAGTGCGAAAGAAAAACGGGATTCTCGCTTTCTCATCGCTCGCTTCGCCGAGATTAAGCTCTTTGATTGAGCGATGTTCTCAGCTCTGACGCTACTCCCCGCAGAAAGCGTGGAAGTTGGTTTCGATTTCGGCATCGCTTTTTGTGGGCGCCGAGCCGCCGTCATTGCCGGCAAGTGATTTGCACATTGCACGTGAACTAGAGTGGACGTTCTTCGGCATGGTTTATCAGTGATTCAACCGCTTCTTTCATTGACGAGTGAACGCTATACTTCGTTCCAGCTTAGGTCCGAGCGCGGCCTATGTTATGAGCCGAAGGGCTAATCATACAGCGCAAAAAGCGCAGCGTCATGGTGTGCTCTCTGCGCTTTATGGAAATAGCCGGCAGAGGAGCACGAACAGAGAAACGGCGAATACCGGCTAGTCCTATCAACTGCAGAAAGCACGCCATGACATTGTGGCTCTTTTGCTGTTGGATTGGCCCTTCGGCTCATAACATCGGCCGCGCTCGCACCTAAGCTGAAACGAAGTATAATAACTGCGAACGCTAATAACTGTTCTTTTTAAGAAACGGGAAGGATAAGTTACTTTTTTTATTTGTTCCGCCGCTTTCCGGTTTAGCACATATCACAAAAAAAATTACTAAATCACATTGTCTACCGACAGCGTCTGATAGGCTCCTTCCTCAATCCTCGCGCTTTCTGCGGTGAGCAGCAGGAGAGCTGAAAACAGCGCTCGATCCAAGTGCTTAATCTCGGCGAAGAGCGCGACAAGAAAGCGAGCCGCCACGGCAGCCGCGTCATGGCGCTGGTAGCACGGACCGGTCGACGGTCCGGCGTTCACCTTCATATCGCCTGCGGGTGTGTTTCTGGGTGTTCCCTCACTGGTTAATCCAATCACTCACGGAAACATAGATCGTAGGAGCATGGCGCATTGGATGTGTGATCGCTTTAGTAGTTTATAGGAAAGGCAAAAAGGCAATGAGAACCGTGAGGATGCACTTTTGACGCTGTTTGATCTGCTCAGTAAAACAAAGTATAGACCTTTCCATCTTGTTGTAGGAGAAGCGCTAAGTAGATTCACTCACCCTCAAACTCACACTCACACTCACACCAGAAAAACGGTCATTCACGTCGCGCTGACTTTCAACTCAAATTGTATTTTCGTCTTCTTTCGTTTTTCCTTTACCCGTATTAAAATTGTCATCTCACTTCGCTCTCTTCTGTACAAAACAATTAGCAATGTCTATCGCACATTACCTTCGAGAATCAAGATAAAACAATTCTTTTTCCGTTAGCGTTATGGATGGACTACTAACACAGGTGTCACTTCTTTTTATGATGTGAGCTGCCTCTATTATCTCACGTGTTAACTGATGATGGTTCTTTCCGATTATGGTGCTATTTTTGAAGTCCGCGGCGCACCCACAGTCACGGCAGTGAATGCCCAAAAGTCCTGGGTTTGCTAATCGGGTGTTGTTGTTGTGTTCCCTTAATCTGTCGTTAATACATCTTCCAGTTTGTCCTATGTACTGTTTGCCGCATGATAGAAGAAAGGAATAAATCACTCCTTCTGAGCAAGGTATGTGTGGGGTTTTATGCTTTTTAGTGCAGACGGTATTAGTTTTTGCTGTGGCGTTAATTTGTTTACATAGGCCTGATAGTTTGATGGGGGTGGAAAAGACTACGTCGATATTTGCGCGATTCCCAATATTCTTCAGGTTATGAGAAATGTTATGAATGTAGGGGATGACTACCGGTCTCTGGTTACTGAATCTTTCGCGTGACTTGCGGGATGTGATTTGACATCCCGCAATGTGCTCGTCAAGTTTAGAACATGCTTAAACCCTTTGGAGATTACGCATGAGCTTCCAGAGCTAGGATCCTTAAGATTTCTGGACCTAAGATTGTCTCTTCAGCCCCGTCATGTCTGTTGGTCGTATGAGCCAAGAGGGAAAAAACCGCTCCTCAATTATAATTCGGCGCATTCCAAATTGGAGAAGAGAGGCGTAGTTAATGAGTGCTTCAAAAACTCTATTTTCAAGTCCTGCACGCATTCAGGCCTAACAAGCTTCACAGGACAAGTATCTAGGATAGTAAGTGCGGGATATCCTTCACATATATTAACTTCAGTAGCCGAAAGTCTCCTTAAACAGATTAAAAATGGTCAAATCACATCCCGCAAGCCACGCGAAAGATTCAGTAACCAGAGACCGGTAGTCATCCCCTACATTCATAACATTTCTCATAACCTGAAGAAGATTGGGAATCGCGCAAATATCGACGTAGTCTTTTCCGCCCCCATCAAACTATCAGGCCTATGTAAAAAAGTTAACGCCACAACAAAAACTAATACCGTCTGCACTAAAAAGCATAAAACCCCATACATACCTTGCTCAGAAGGAGTGATTTATTCCTTTCCCCTATCATGCGGCAAACAGTACATAGGACAAACTGGAAGATGTATTAACGACAGATTAAGGGAACACAACAACAACACCCGATTAGCAAACTCAGGACTTTTGGGCATTCACTGCCGTGACTGTGGGTGCGCCGCGGACTTCAAAAATAGCACCATAATCGGAAAGAACCATCATCAGTTAACACGTGAGATAATAGAGGCAGCTCACATCATAAAAAGAAGTGACACCTGTGTTAGTAGTCGATCCATAACGCTAACGGAAAAAGAATTGTTTTATCTTGATTCTCGAAGG